ACCCCATAGGGACCCCATAGAAACCCATAGGGACTCCATAAATCCCATAGCGACCCCATAAATCCCATAAAAACCCCATAAAGTCCCATAGGGACCCCATAGAAACCTATAGGGACCCCATAAATCCCATAGGGACCCCATAAATCCCATAAAACCCCATAAAAACCCCATAAAGTCCCATAAAATCCCATAGGGACCCCATAAAACCCCATAAAGTCCCACAGGGACCCCATAGAAACCCATAGGGACCCCATAAATCCCATAGGGACCCCATAGAAACCCATAGGGACCCCACAGGGACCCCATAAATCCCATAAAACCCCATAGAGACACATGGAGCCCCATAGCGCCCCACAGAGCCCCATAGATCCCCATAGATCCCCATAGCGCCCCATAGATCCCCATAGAGCCCCATAGAGCTCCATAGAGCCCCATAGCACCCCATAGATCCCCATAGAGCCCCATAGATCCCTATAGATCCCCATAGAGCCCCATAGATCCCCATAGCGCCCCATAGTTACCCCATAGAGCCCCATAGAGCCCCACAGAGACCCCATAGAGCCCCATAGCGCCCCATAGATCCCTATAGATCTCCATAGAGCCCCATAGCACCCCATAGATCCCCATAGAGCCCCATAGATCCCTATAGATCCCCATAGAGCCCCATAGCGCCCCATAGAGCCCCATAGAGCCCCATAGCACCCCATAGCGCCCCATAGCGCCCCATAGCGCCCCATAGATCCCGCCCCTCCCCCCAGGCTGCTGGAAGCATGCGGCGCCCCATTGGACGCTCCCGGTTCCCGCCTTTACCTTGCCGGCTCCCGATTGGCTGAAGCCGTTCGGACCTTCTTGGGGGCGGGGCTAAAGGGACGCCCCACCCGTGGTGGCCACGCCCCTTCCGGCGGACGTGACGTCATGGCGACGGCGAGGATGCTATTGGCTGGTGAGAGAGGGGGGGCGGGGCCAAGAGGACACCATGGGGCTCTATGGGAATCTATGGGGCTCTATGGGGATCTATGGGGTCAGTGGGGCACTATGGGGTACTATGGGGCTCTATGGGTCTCTATGCGGTTCTATGGGGTTTCTGTGGGGCTCTATGGGGTCTCTATGGGGCTCTATGGGTTTCTATGGGGTTTCTATGGGGATCTATGGGTCTCAATGGGGCTCTATGGGGCTCTATGGGGTTCTGTGGGGTTCTATGGGGTCAGTGGGGCTCTATGGGGTCTCTATGGGGTTCTGTGGGGTTCTGTGGGGTCAGTGGGGCTTTATGGGGTCTCTATGGGTCTCTATGGGGTCTCTATGAGGATCTATGGGGCTCTATTGGGTTTTTATGGGGCTCTTTGGGGTTTCTAGCGATCTCTATGGGACTTTATGGGGTCTCTATGGGTCCCTACAGGGCTCTATAGATCTCTATAGGGTTTTATGGGGTCTCTATGGGGATCTGTGGGGTCCCCATGGGGATCTATTGGTCTCTATGGGGCTGGTATGGGGTTCTATGGGGCTCTATGGGGTTCTATGGATCTCTATGGGCTCTATGGGGTCTCTATGGGGTTCTATGGTGTTTCTAAGGGGCTCTATGGGGCTCTATGGGGCTCTGTGGGGTCTCTATGGGGCTCTATGGGGTCTTTATAGGGTTTCTATGGGATCAGTGGGGCTTTATGGGGTTCTATGGGGCTCTATGGGTCTTATGGGGTTCTATGGGAATCTATGGGGTTCTATGGGGCTCTATGGGGTTCTATAGGGTTTCTATGGGGTTCTGTGGGGTTCTATGGGGTCAGTGGGGCTTTATGGGGTCTCTATGGGTCTCTATGGTGCTCTATGGGTCTCTGTGGGTCCCTATGGGGTCCCTATGGGGTTACTATGGGTCCCTATGGGACTCTATGGGTCTCTATGGGGTTCTATAGGGTTCTGTGGGGCTCGATGGGGCTCTATGGGGTTCTATGGGGTCAGTGGGGCTTTATGGGGTCTCTGTGGGGCTCTATGGGGCTCTGTGGGGTTCTGTGGGGTCTCTGTGGGGCTCTATGGTGTCTCTATAGGGTTTCTATGGGGTCAGTGGGGCTTTATGGGGTTCTATGGGTCTCTGTGGGTCTCTATGGGGACCTATGGGGTTCTATGGATCTCTATGGGGTCTCTATGGCTTTCTATGGGGTTTCTATGGGGCTCTATGGGTTTCTATGGGGTTTCTATGGGGCTCTATGGGAATCTATGGGGTTCTATGGGGCTCTATGGGGTTCTATGGGGTCAGTGGGGCTTTATGGGGTCTCTATGGGTCTCTGTGGGTCTCTATGGGGTCATGATGGGGATCTATGGGGTTTCTATGGGCCTCTATGGGTCTCTATGGGTCCCTATGGGGTCCCTATGGGGTCCCTATGGGGTTACTATGGGTCCCTATGGGTCTCTATGGGTCCCTATGGGTCCCTATGGGTCTTTGTGGGTCTCTATGGGGATCTATGGGGGCCCCTATGGGGCTCTATGGGGTCTCTGTGGGGCTCTATGGGTCTGTATGGGGCTGCTATGGGGTTCTATGGGGCTCTATGGGGTCTCGTGGAGTTCTGTGGGGCTCTATGGGGTTCTATGGATCTCTATAGGGTTCTATGGGGCTCTATGGGGTCGGTGGGGCTCTATGGGTCTCTATGGGTCTCTATGGGGCTCTATGGGGTCTCTATGGGGCTCTGTGGGGTTCTATGGGGTTCTATGGGGCTCTGTGAGGTTTTATGGGGTTCCATGGGGTTTTATGGGGTCAATAGGGCTTTATGGGGTCTCTATGGGGCTCTATGGGTCTCTATGGGGTTTTATGGGGTCTCTATGTGGTTCTATAGGGTTCTATGGGGCTCTATGGGGCTCTATGGGTCTGTGTAAGGTTTTATGGGGTTTCTATGGGTCCCTATTTGTCTCTATGGGGTCTGTGGGTCCCTATGGGTCCCTATGGGTCCCTATGGTTCCTATGGGTCCCTATGGGTCGCTATGGGTTGCTATGGGGTCTCTATGGGGCTTTGTGGGGTTTTAAGGGGTTTCTATGGGTCTTTATGGGGCTCAGTGGGTCTCTATGGGGTTTTATGGGGTTCCTATGGGTCTCTATGGGTTCTATGGAGTCTATGGGGTCCCTATGGTGTTTTATGGGGTTTTATGGGGTTTTATGGGTCCCTATGGGTCCCTATGGTTCCTATGGGTCCCTATGGTTCCTATGGGTCTCTATGGGTCTCTATGGGTCTCTATGGGTCCCTATGGTTCCTATGGGTCCCTATGGGTCGCTATGGGTCCCTATGTTCCCCACGTGCCCCAATCCCGCCCCGCCGTGTAGCCGGAAGCCCCGCCCCCTTCTCCCAACCTTTCGACCAATCCTCGCAGGCCTGACTCTGCGCGCCGCCGACCCATTGGCTGACGGCCACTTCCGGGGGGCGGAGCTCGAACACCTGGCTTTGTTACCGCGCCTTCTGGTTGGTCTACGCCTCCGGGGGGGGACTGGGGTGGGGAGGGGGCGGGGCTTAAGGGAGTGTGGGCGTGGCTTAAGGGAGAGTGGGCGGGGCTTAAAGGGAGGGGGCGGGGCTT